CCGTGCCGTTGCCCTGCTGAGAGGTGGGGGGCCCTGTGCCTCTTGTGTCGCTAGCCCAGCTGGAGACTCTCTCCCTGCAGGCCCCTGTATTGGCCTTGTCACTGGGGCCTGGCTGTGGGGATGGGGTACAGTGACCGTGCTGGGGTCTGGGTCTCACGGCCTGTCTCCTCCTGCCTGCAGAGCCCAAACCCAACATCTCCCTGCACCCCAGTGGGCGGGTTGCCCTGAGGGGAGCCATGACCATCCGGTGTGAGTGTCGGTGTCGGGGAGCGAGGGTCCTTCTGAGTAAAGCTGGAGACCCGAACGCACGGCGCGCGATGGATTCCGCTGGGGACGTGGTTGAGTTTCCCATCCGCAGAGTGAGCCAGGGAGACGCAGGGAACTACAGCTGCCAATACAGCACCAAGTGGGACCCGCCCGTCTGGTCGGAGCCCAGCGACCCCGTGGAGTTGGTGGTAGCAGGTGAGGGGCCCGGCTCAGCATCTCCGCTCCCAGCCCCACACTCTGACGGACCCTCAGAGCGAGTCTGGGCTGTCGGAATTCGCCCTCCCTGGTTTGATACAGCCCCGGTTGGCAGACAAGCTCCCCTGTAGCTCTATAGACACAGGGACGTTCCTCCCCCGAAATAGGGACAGCCGCGCCCAGACCTGCTCCGCAGTGACTCCAGGTGTGAATGGCACCTGGCTGGGGCAGGGACCGTCTCTGTGTCGTGTGTCTGTACAGCTCCGAGCACACGGGGGAGTTGGCCCACGACAGGGGCTCCTGGTAATTACTACTAGTCAGTAATGATTTTGGTTCCGGTTTCCGTGGAGCCAGGCAGGGGCTGTATCTGCGCTCAGGGTCTCGCTGGGTCGATCCTCCCCATTCTGGGATCCCGGGGACGCTGAGCCGGCCCGAATCCCCGGGTCCCGTCCTCTCCCCAGGGACGCCAGCTCAGCCCGGGGAAGAGCTGCCATTGTCGGTTGGTGGGAGGAGACGTTCCCGGTATAACTAACCACAGACACCCGGGCTCCAGCTTTCTCACCCCCGTCCCCCCGACTGACTCTGGTTCTATTCCCGCAGGGGGAGCCGACCCGACTCAGCCAGGAACGACACCAGCTCCCACCGGCCCAAGTAGCACAGGGCCAGGTACCAGGGCTGGGGGCACGAAATCACTCTCAACCCCCCCAGAAACAGGTTTGTGCTGCCCAAGGAGCCGCCCTCAGGGGGAGTCACGAAGGGCTGGGTGGGAAGGTGGCAGATCCCCACAGCAAATGTCCCATCTGAACCCCTCCCACCAGCCTCATTTCATATGCTGACGGGGGGGGGGGAGTGTCACTGGACAGTTGCCAGATTGGCTTGGTGGGGGCAGGGCCTGGGAGAGCTTCCCCCCAATGCACAGCCCCACCCCAGGGACCCCACAAACAGAGAACATAAGAATGGCCATACTGGGTCAGACCAAAGGTCCATCAAGCCCAGTATTCTGTCCTCTGACAGTGGCCAATGGCAGGTGCCCCAAAGGGAATGAACAGACAGGTTATCATCAAGTGAGCCATGCCCTGTCACCCAATCCCAGTTTCTGGCAAACAGAGGCTAGGGACACCAGCCCTGCCCATCCTGGCTAATAGCCATTGATGGACCTGTCCTCCATGAATCTATCTAGCTCCCTTTTGAACCCCGTGCTATACTGCCCACAGGCACCACAAACACACCTGTGTGGGGCACAGCTCGAGGCTTATGCCCCTGGGAGAACGGGGATGGAGAGCTGGGGATAATGGCCTCGTGTATCCCGTCTGTCTGCCTGAGTCTGCAGACAGCCCAGCAGAACGGCTCAGAAGCAGGGCTCCCCCTTCGCTGGGGTGCTGCCCAGTTGGGCATTAGCCTTGGAACCTCTCAATCCAGATAGACGTGATGTTAACACTTGAACCCACTGATTCAGAGTGACACACTGTTGACTCTGGAACCTACTGATGGCTGTTGCAATGACAGCACAATTACGTCTTCCACTGCTGATCACTTCACCAAGGCATGGTTCTCCCAATGATCTCAAAGTACCCTTCTGGGCCAGAAGCCCCCTCCCACTGCCATCCCCCCACCCATACGATTCCTATGCAGAAGTGAGCTGAAGCTGCTGAGAAATTCCCAGGACAGGGTCATGACTGGGGGTAGGAGGGTGGGGGTGCTGCAGGATCTGGGCCCAGCTGACTTCACAGGCATGGGGCCTGAGGTACACCCCCCCACATCCCCCCACACCCCAGTACAGCCCTCTGCCACTGGGTGTGAACCCCCTGAATACTATTACCCAGAATCCCCTCTGATCCTGCCCCTCCCCAATAGCCCCATAGCATGTTCTGCTGTGAGTCTCTGGGTCCTTGAGAGGGAGGGGCTGGGGCAGCAGGTAACGAGATGCTCACAGCCTGGTGGTGCTTCCCAGGTGGATCGGAACCACGCGCAGCACCGGTTCTGACCTGCACCATCCTCACCGGGGTGAGCGTGGCAGCTGACGGCTTCCTCCTCCTCCTCCTCCTCGCCTTCCTCTGCTACAGAAAATCCCGAGGAAGTGAGTGCCCTGCCCAGCGAGGGACGGGTTAAACCCGCCGCTAAGTTGGGCTGGGAAGGGGGTCAGGGTTTGGATGGGGGACAGGGAAAGAAACCCAGGGGGTGGGGCAGAGGCTCAGCAGGGGGTGCTCTCCCCTGGCAGTCAGGGCTGGCCCCAATGCCACAGGGCAGCACTAGGTGGCGCTGTGCTGCAGGGAGTGGTGGCTCCGCAGGGGGTATGGGGCTGCAGGGGGTGGGGCAGGGGCCCAGCAGGGGGTGCCCTCCCCTGGCAGTCAGGGCTGGCCCCAAAGCTCCTGGGCAGCAGTAGGGGGCGCTGTGCTGAAGGGGGTGGGGCTCAGTAGGGGGGCTGTGGTGCAAGGAACAGGGCGGGGGGCTCAGTTGGGGGTGCTCTGTGGTGCAGGGAGTAGGGCAGGGGGCACTGTGCTGCAGGGGGTGGGGTAGGGGCTCACTATGGGGGCGCTGTGGTGCAGGGGGCAGGGACCTGTCTCTAGGGTACCCAGGCTCAGCATCTGGAGGGGCGGGGCTCCCCCTGGCAGAGCGGACACATCCTGTGTGTGGGGGGGATATGCAGGTGCAGCCCTGATTCACTGTGTGCCTTTGGGGGCGCCCCTGCCCCCCTTTGTGCCTTAGTTTCCCCCGCTGCACCACGGAGCTAGTGACCCTGCCCCACCCCAGTGTGCTGGGTGGTAGGCGGGCCAGTTTGCAAAGGGCTCAGATGGGAGGTGGGGGGCTGGGCCCAGGGCCCTGATCTGGACCCAGCCGCTCACCAGGGGGGTGTCTCTATTCCTCAGATGCCCTCATGGGCAAACGGAAGCAGATGGATGGCCTGGTAAGTGCCCCCCACTCCTCATCCCCCCAGCACCAATGCACCATCCAGCCCTCCCTCCCCACCATCTGGCCCTGCACAGGTCCCACTAGAGGCATGTTCTGATGCCGAACCCCCAGACTCTACCTGGTCCCCCCCGTACCTCCTCAGGGCAGACACCGGAGCTGGGGATCAGAACACAGAGAAAAAAAGCCTGACCCTGTACCCCCAAAACTCACCTTGACCCCCGCAAACCTTCCTCCAAATGTTTGCATTTGTCTGAGATTTGCGGAGGGTCAGTGGAATTCCATGGGGGGCAGGTGCCAGGGGACAATTTCCCTGATCTCTGCCCCATGGGGCTGAGTGGGCAGGGGGTGTTGCTGGGTTCCCGGGTGGGTGGGGAAGAGCAGCTCTCCGGAGCCCCCTGCTGGACAGGACAGAGTGTGTCAGAGCAACTGTTAAACGGGGGGGAATCGCTGCCCTGCCAAAATCTTAACGACCGGTTCCCTATTAAAAGTTCTGATTTAAGGGATGTGCCACAGTATGTATTTTTTGTACCAATAGGGTTACCATATGTCTGTATTTTCCTGGGAGAAATGTTTAAATTTAAAAAATTCCTCCCGGAAGGCGATTTAAGAACCAAAAAGCCTGACATACGGATGTATGTTAACCCTACCTAAAGTTCTTTTTTAAAAAGATGGGTCTGAACTAGAAATGAGCTCCGTTTCACATGTGTGGGTCCCTGCCTCTCCCTGGGGGTGTGTGCACATGTTTGGGTCCCGGCTGCTCCCTGCCCCCCTCATTGAAGCAGGTGTGGAGGGTTACTGCCCTGGGAACTGCAGGGCACCAGTGGACATGGGGCCGGCTGCAGACAGGGGTGTGGGGCAGGGCTAGCTGGAGGCAGGGGGTGCGGGGCTGGCTGTGGGCAGGGCAGGGGGTGCGGAGCTGGCTGGAGACAGCAGGGTGCGGGGTTGGCTGGACTGGAGGCAAGGGGGTGTGGGTTGGTTGGAGACGGGGTGTGGGGCTGACTGGAGGCAGGGCAGGGGCTGACTGGAGGTAGGGGCTGGGTGCAGGCAGGGCAGGGGGGTGCGGGGCTGGCTGGAGACAGGGGGTTTGGGGCTGTCTGGCTTCGGGCAGGGCTGCAGGGGGGTGTGACAGGGGTGGGCTGGCTTTGGGCACGGGATGTGGAAGGGGCTGGTGGCTGGCAGGGGTTGCGGGG